AATTTCCCCATTATTATGCATTTCCTTAAGCATATTCTTCAGTGTGCCGTTGATCTTCGTGGTTGGATCCATGCTTAGTATTTGACAAGTGTTCCGTTAGTTAAGGATACTTTCCATTTTCTCCGTGTATTGTTTCTTGTCCATTACAACCGTCGCCCCCCTCGCTTATCCGCCTGAAGAACTCTGATCATTCTTTTGTTATTTTTTTCCTATACCAGCCAATTTGCTCCTGTGTATCGATTCTTGATGTGTCAGGATTCGTCGGATTATTTTCAGTTCCATCTCCCGCCTTGTACCTTCTGGATATTTATCCGTTATTTCGACAACTTTCACCAGGATGTCATTAAGAACATTACCTTCATTACCTGCCTCTTATTGAACCTAAACAAAGCCAGCAACACCACAACATTATTGGGTTGGCACACAAGCAACTAGGGCACGGCAAGTCATAGACTTGGTATTAGGAATAGAGACAGGATAGACGAGGCGGCGATTGGAGCTAGTTGGCTGACAGTAGGTTTTACAAGAGACATGGTCCATGTAGCAAAGGCATGACCATGAGACTTACTCTGAGGCTTTAGCCTCTAATCAATCACTCGGGTGCAGGAGATGAACGAATTACGCCTCGAATAGCACAAATGTGGGGCAGGGATAAAGTGAAATGCATGTACCAGGGAGATAGCAGATGAATTCTATGGGGCAAGAGGGAGACTTTGATAGGACCCCTGGAATGACTACGTAACAATATGACAGACTGGTAAATATTCCCAACACAAGTGTAAAGGGGGTGATAAAGACAGTGTGGAGTGTGAAGGGATTTCATGAAGGCCGCTCGAAGGAGCACACCACACTACATAAAAAATAAGCACGGTAAAAATTGTGACAAGGAAGGCATGAAAGGAGGGTATAGAAAATGTGAATGGCCAGGGCAGAAGGGGAGATACCATAACTGTTTAGCACACGTTTGGTCAAAGGATGGGCTTCACTTGTCTATTTGACGAGTTGTTGAATGGTGCTATGAATGGCGAGATTCACTGACGATGCTGACTACGATGCCGGTGAAACGTTTGGGAATGTACCACGTCCACGGTCCTACTCTGGGAATGATGATGCATACAAAGAACTCCGGACTAGGTGCGTTCCTCTAAGTCTTCCAACCAACATGACCGAGTTGCGAAAACAAGGTCAAACAACTTCTAAGTTTCCCGAGTTTCTGATAATCTCTCTTACTTTCATGAGCTTAAGGCATATGAATTTCGCCAATTTGTATGTCGCTCGATCATTTTAATTGACTATTAGACTCGGCGTCTATCTTTATTTGTGTACCTTTGGTTGCCGGTTGTCTTGTGTTCTTTTTAATTAGGCAATTTATCATTCGCCTGTCGATCTCTCCGTTCCTTATGTATTCCCATAACTATATAATGTTGGGTAGAAGTTGTTTGACCTTGTTTTCGCAACT